AAAATCCAATTAAATGTGGGGGAAAAAATAAACATAACTCTAAACAGAGCCAAATTACACTTAAGAAAGGTGGGGTAAAGAGTTAACTGATAACAATCAAAGTCTAGTTAAATAAATCATTTTATAAAGGGGTATTTTTGTACTTCACAGAATTATACTATAGCATGTTTACTCAAAATATATAATTTAATATGGCAATGTTTAACAAGAAATCATTAATGCAGATATATCTAAATAGTATAGCAGTTATAGAGAAATAATAATTGATGAAAATTGTACTAAGTTACACCTAAGCAAATAAAAGTATGTATGTGCCCTTCACTAGCCAGAACTGTAGCAGGGCCTGGAAAGAAACCCACAGACATGTCAGTGAGGCTGACTGTACAAACATAGTCCAGTCCAGGGAAAGCACAGGTCACATGGTTTGCAATCCATAAGGGTATGATGGTGTCATTCCCACAATCACCATTTGCCAAGTATTCTCTGGTGAAATGTTCTGGAAGAGGTAACTCACATTTATGCTATGGGGAAAATATTGCTCTTTAATTCATTCTGAAAATTAACTCGAAACCTATATTCATGATTTCTGATTTGAAAACAAAGAAACAATGTTTGGGAGAAAATGGGATTTGTTACATAGGGATGAGGGTATGCAGGTGGCAGGGCAGGCAATAGGGGGATAGGGTCAAGGGCTGAGGATCAGGACCAATAAAAACAGAGAAAAAAAACCACAACAACAAGAACTTGAGGTTGGAGACTTTTCCTGACTGGGGGCATGTGCAGAAGCTAGGAGCTTATGACCAAATGTAACCTTTCCATCACTGACATCATAAAACTCACACCCCCTAGTGCCATGACAGTTCCAGAGTCAGACATACAAGGACAGAAAATTGATTCTGGGAATCCCCACCCACTTCCCAAAGAGACACGAATATTCTACCCCCAGCTTAACATATTATTAGGAATTAGCATAAAGGACAGACCCTAACCCTGGCATGACACTGTTCTTTACTGGAGCAGTCCTGTCTCTACTGAACTTAAGAGTGTACTATACTTTCTATACTTGGTCTTTAAACTTGGGGTCATCTCCACTCACAGGGACAGACCAGGACAACTCCTGAAAATCACACCTGTTTACACCCACGCTGTATGCACAATCATGCCTGTACACACAGCACAGATCCACACAAGCTCCCTGGGCTCTCTGCTTCAAACATTCTCCGCTTGAGGGCTGACAACAAGGACCCATAATGAAAGATCTGGCCACCCCTAAATGTGTCCAAGGACGTCATTAGAGAAGGTAGTACTCTACTAAGGTCAGTAATACAGAGTAGAGAGTCACCCACCCTTAGTTTTTCTCAACTCCTCGACAAGGCAGCGGGCCTCCTCTTGGACACGTTCCTCAATGCTCCTCTTCCCCATCCCAAAATTCCGCAGGGTCATGAGGGTGAAGCGCCGGATCTGCTTCCATCTATCTCCATTGGTGAAAATAACACCTACCAGAATGGGAAACAGAAACTAGGAGGGAAATCTCAGGTAAGGAGGGAGCTGACACTCCACAGCCATGTGAGTGGCGAAGCTCTGCCTTAGGAATTCTTCAGGCTTCTGTTGTCCATTCTCCCCACCCCCTTTAGCACTGCTGACTCAGGCACAGGCCCACCTACCAAGTCCCTTATTAATTCTTTCAGCCACTGGGAAATGGCCTCTTGCAGAAAATTCCTCTCCGTGATCAATCAGAGCTTCCTTCACCGCTTCATATCCATACAACACCACAGTGGGCTTCATGCCAAGATACACAGTGAACACCGGGCCATACACTTTTGAGAACTAAGAAAGAAAATACAGATAATAGCAGAAGAAGTCACTGTTTCTTCCATATATATTGTGCCTAATTGGGGCTGATGTTATTATTATATTATTAATGTTTTTATTATGCCACACACAGCTTCAAATATTTCTGAATTTTATAAATAAATATGATGGTGATTGTTATAGCTTCCATTTACAAATGGATTACATTATTCGAGGCTTTCACCCAGCCAATTTGTACACAGAGTACAACAAATCCTCACATAAACACATTCGGCAACTTTATTTGGTCTTTTTTAAACAAAGAAACTGAGTTCAGAGAATTCCAAATTCATTTCCACTGTTCCACAGATAATATAAATAAGCAAAAATTTGAAATTTTGCTTATTCAAATCCTGATGCTTGAGCAAATTTAGCACCCCCATGCCCACTTTGAGACCAATACCCCGCTGCCTGTTTCAGGATCGCCTCTGAAGTTCCTCTCATGGGGATCCTGACCACATAGCCGTGTGATGAACACTAGAAAGCCATATTTTTAAAGCCACTCCAGGTGATTCTAATGCCCACACAAGTTTGGGAGCTGCTGGTATTACTAACACAGAGAGAGTGCACACCACAGAGGCAGCACCAGCACATGTGATGTCTCCTGGAAGAACAATTTCTTCCATCCACCAGCATTCTTGGCCACAAACAGCAGCTTTGTGCAGAATTGAAAAGAATTCTCACACCACCAATTGGGCTTTGACTGACTTCTTCTTTCTTTCATTCATTTATGCTAATCCTGAACACATATTTCCTTGACAGAAGGCATAAAATGATTCTTCAGAGAAGTTCAACTTTCATGACTATTCTAAATAAAACACATGGCTAACAGAATAGATGACTCACTGAATGAAATCTCCAATCACACACTTCCCTTACCATTTACCTTGATACAAAATCATAGCAAATGGCTACAAAACAAAGAAGGGACACAGAACTCCAAACTTTTGCCACTTTATCATTTTGATTCTGTCACACAAAGTCCTAAATGTTTCTCTACTCACAAAATGCATTATTCTATTTCACTATTTCTGGCAATGACAGACTAGAAAAGGCAACAGAAACATCAAAGTATTTTGCTGCACAATGATCCACTGTGACAGCATTCCTCTAGGAATATATTTTATCTAAAAATAGGGGTCAGTTTACTTGCCCATTGCAAGCCACTGGAGGAGTGTAAAACACACTTACGTTGGTAAAGGATTTGCCAATGTCCTTAACATCCACCTGCAGCATATTTCCAATAATTGGGAGAGGAGTGGGGCCAGGAGGGAGCTTCCCTCTCCCAGAGCTCTGTCTCCAGAGTGAAAGGAGAAGCAAACAGGAGAGACAGAGGACCAGAACCACAGCTGGGTCCATCGCTGCCTTCTCTTCTTACCAAGACAACTGTGAGCTTGCACTCCAAGGCTTTTATAACACTCCCTGCTAATGCAGTGTGTGGCCAATCAGCTAGATGCACTTTATGCTCTCTTCTGAGTGGAATTTGGCCTACTGATAGAGATAAAATAAAATGCTCTTTAGACTTGCTCTCCTTCACTGTAGTATCATCCCACCTGTAGATTGTGGCTTAATTCTACTATGTTGGGGTCCAGGTATTGGTAATTAAAACAAATAAAACAAGAGGTTCCGAGGTGCAGCCATGATTGAGAAATACTAAAGTAAATGATTTGCTCTAAAAAATTACTCAAAATCCTAGAGTGTTAGACTAATGAAAAGTTATAGCTCTGAGAGAAATCAATATATTCTATGCCTTGTATACAAAAAAAAAATGTTGCAATGCTATATCAAAGATTAGCAGACTTTATCCTTGATAATGAAATCATTTCAAATAGTTAATATGCTTTACTAGCCATAGAACAGCTTAAACATAAAATAGCTAACATAACTCATACATACATCAAGTAATTGGCTCAGCAAATATATGTCTTTTAACTTTAAATCCTCTGAAAAAAAACCACTTGAAAGCAGGAGTTATTGAATGAGAAAACATACATCAAGTAATTGGCTCAGCAAATATATGTCTTTTAACTTTAAACCCTCTGAAAAAAAACCACTTGAAAGCAGGAGTTATTAATACAATTTTTTATTTTCAAATGAAAAAAGAGAGACTTTGGGAGAATAGGAGACCTGTCAGTTCTCACAGCTCATAGGTGGCAGAAATGGGATTTGAGATGAGACTACTGATTTCCATTGTGGTGCATTATCATTTACACCAGAGCTGCCTTGAGAACCATTTTAGGAAAATGAAACATACCCGCAAACATTTGTTACTCTGAGTGTACACCACATAGACTTTGCTAGGAATGCAACAGGCTTCACATGAAATTGAAGCCTCTTATTTGACTCCAAGGATAACAGGACCAGAGGTGCTTAAGGGAAGAAATAAAATATAGGGTTCTCCCCCTCTCCGTCACTGCAAAGATAAAAGTTACTCAGTGCAACTGACAGAAGAAGCAATCTCAGAGATTTTAGTGGGGAGGGCTTGAGAAACTATGACTTCTCCACTTCGTGGTCACCTCCAGACACAGCCACTTCTTGGTGTTTTTGGTCTGTCATTGACAGAAATAATAGAATGAAATAATGCACAACAAGGAAGAGAAATTACAGACAGAACACTACTGTGGATGCAATAAAGGATGGGAGGTAGGGAAGTCATTAAATGGACCCATAGCACAGACCCACCACAAAGTTCAGAACTGAACAAGAGCCGACATTCAGTGGTTAAGAGAATCTAAATACAACCAGAATAATATATATTACTAGGTCACAAACAACAATGTTTTTGCGAAGGCAGGTTCTGTAAAAATAGCATGATGTTTGTTCTAAATTGACGAGTGCAGTTATTTCCAGCTCTTTTATTAAGAAAAATATGTCAAGACCCAGTTGCAAAAGCAATCACAGCAGCAACAAAAATAAATAAATGAGATCTGATCAAATTAAAAAGCTTTTGCACAGCCAAGGAAACTATCATTAGAGCGAATAGACAGCCTACAGAATGGGAGAAAATATTTGCTCTCTACACATCCAATAAAGGGTTGATAACAAGAATCTATCTAGAACTTAAAAAAATCAAGAAGAAAAATATCAAACAACCCCATCAATAAATGGACAAAGGTCATGAACAGAAACTTTTCAAAAGAAGACAGACTAATGGTCAGCAAACACATTAAAAAAATGCTCAACATCTCTAATCATTAGAGAAATGCAAATCAAAACCACAATGAGATATCACCTAACCCCAGTGAGATTGGCCTCTATCAAAAAATCCCAAAACAACAAATACTGGCGAGATTGTGGAGAGACAGAAACACTCTTACACTGCTGGTGGGACTGTAAATTAGTGCAACCTTTGTGGAAAAGAATTTGGAGATACCTCAAAGAGCTAAAAATAGAAATATCATTCGATCCAGCAATAGCACTATTAGACATCTACCAAAAAGAGCAAAAGATATTCTATAATAAAGACATCTGCACCCGAATGTTTATGGCAGCACAATTCATAATTGCAAGGATGTGGAAACAACCCAAGTGCCCGTCAATTCATGAGTGGATTATCAAAATTTGGTATATGTATACAATGGAATATTACTCAATTATAAGAAATGACAGTGATCTAGCACCTCTTATATTTTCCTGGATTGAGCTTGAGCCCATTATCCAAAGTGAGGTATCACAAGATTAAAAGAATGGGCTCCACATGTACTCGCAATCAAATTGGCACTAACTAATCAACACTATGCTCACATGGCAGTAATACTCTCCAGGGATTAGGGGGTTGGAGGGTGGTAAACTCACAACTAATGGACACGGTGAGCATTGTAGAGGGAAGGGCATGCCTCTAATTCTCGCTTGGGTGAGGCAAAGACATAAAATGTAACCAAAATGTTTGTACCCTCATAATATCTTGAAATTAAAAAAAAAGACCCAATTGCACAATGTTTTATCAGTCTTGTTAACAGTGATTGTGAAAAAAAGCAGAAAATTTTTGCATCATATCCCTTTTGAATCTCTCAATACGTAAAGTAAACTTAACCCATTTTAGGGATGAGTAAACTGAGCCTGAGAGATTCAGTCCCCCGACCAAGGACTTGGTGTCTGAAGGTGATAGATATGAGGCTACAACACCTATCCCCTGTGTCGTGTACCCTTCCTTGAAAGCAAAACAGTGAGTTCAACTGAGTTCACCAACATTGACTGATGGTATACCATTATTCAATAGTGTGTTATTGAACCTAACCGCTGATTTTTAAAATAAATATTAATTTAGTTAATAATTACAGCACTAGTTTACTAAAATGGGAGTCAGAAGAGTTTGTTTTTATTCCCTGTAGAACTGAGCAAGTCCAGGTCTTGCTGAACCCTTTATCCAGGACAAAAAGAAGCAATAATTTAGTGTCTGACTCACATAGCTCTAAACACTAAAGAACCACACCAGCTTATTTTAAATAAAATAAACTCAGTTTCACTTTTTACACAGTTTAATTTTTCTTTTTTGTTCTCTTTCTTCTTTTTTTTTATATGTATAAATTTATGCGGTACAAGTGCAATTTTCTTACATTGATATATTGCACTGTGGTGAAGTCAGGGCATTTAGTTTATCCATTACCAAAGTAATGTACATCGCACCAACTCAATAATTTCTCATCACCCACCTCCCTCCCATTTCTCCCACCTGTTTAAGTCTCGATTAAGTCTCAGTTATCTATCATTCCACACTCAACATCCATGTGTACACATTATTTAGCTCCCACTTATAAGTGAGAACATGCAATATTTGTCTTTCTGTGTCTCAGTTATTTCACGTGAGTAATGGCCTCTAGTTCCATCAATACTGGAGCAAAACAAAAAATTTCATTCCTTTTTATGGCCAAATAGTATTCCATTGTGTATATATACCACATTTTGTATACAATTCCCCATGACTAATCATTAGAAAAGTGCAAATTAAAACCATAATGAGGTATCTTACACCAATCAGAATGGCTCTTATTAAAAAAAATAATAACAGATGTTGGTGAGGATCCAAAGAAAAGGGAACTCCTATACACTGTTGGTGGGAATGTAAATTACTAAAATCTCTATGGAGAACAGTATAGAGAGCTCTCAAAAACTAAAAATACAACTATCATACAGCTAAGGGAGGAGACAAAATGGAGGACCAGAGACACCAATAGCCACATCATCTCTGTAAGAAGGAGAAGTTTTAGGAGAAAGAGGAAAAACAAACAGACAGACAAACATAGATCAGATGAAGTTCTGAAGGAAGGGTGCCTGAATCTACAAGAGACTCTATGGGAAGAGGTTGCAGAGAAGAATTGGAAGGAGAAACGTATCAGCAGGGTCTAAACCCAAAGAGGCTTGGAGACCAGCCATAAGGGTAAATGGAGTGGTTCATTTCTCCCTCCCTCACATCTCAAACTGCTGATGGGCTCTTGAGCAGCTGGAGAGAGACCTTATGCCCACATGAGCCCAAAGACTGCTGTTGCCAGTGAGCAGGGAGCTCCTTGTGGACAGGACACCAGGCTATGACCCCACCAGATCAGGGGTGAGAGTGCAGAGTGGGTCCTGTATATGGAAGCATCCTCCCAGGGGACCCTCATCCCACGAGAGGGCCATACTCCCAGCTCAGGCCAGCATCCTGGGCAGGGAACCTCCCAGCCTGCATCACAGTTTTGGGGGAGCTCAGCTGGCTTGAGGTCCTGCCTGCCAGCAGAGGCCCAGAAGAAACTTCAGAATAAGGTAGGGTAGAAAGGAGTGAGGCCAGCTCCAGACAGCCAGATTGCAGGTCTCAGCTGGCCTCCACACCCAGACTTTTGGTTGAATGGGGCCACGTCAGCTCCACCATGGCAGCTTTGCCCAGAGGCAGGGAACAGACCTTTGACCCCTGCTAAAAGCATCTGTGGAGCTTCAGGTCAGGATCACCCAACCCTGCCATGTCCAGCCTCACTCCCGCACCTGCCCCTGCTGAGATGGAGAATAAGGACACACCTGGAAGTTCCAGGGCCCCACCCACCACCGAGGGCATTAGAGTGCTTCTCCAGAGAACTAGAGCTGGTCACAGGACCCAAACCCAGCATTGCAGCTTGTTCCTCCTGGCATCACCATCTACTGACAGGGAGATCAATTTGCAGCCCCTTTACTGCATTTACTGACTCATCATACAGGGTGTGGTTGATTGTCACCCACGAGCACCATCTACTGGCTCAGAGATTAAACTGGGCATGTCATTATCTAAACAAAAGAAAATCCACTCAGAAATGCTTTTGCTGTATTCCATAGGTTTTGATAGCTTGTTTCTCCATTATAATTTAGTTCAAAGAAGTTCTTGATTTCCCTCTGTATTTCCTCCTTGACCCAGGAGTTAGTCAATAATAGATTGCTTAATTTCCATGACTTTGTGAGGTGGCGAGTATTTCTGTTGGAATTGACCTCTAATTTTAAG